GGAAACGTTTCGGTATAGAAAATGCGCGCGTCATTTGAAAAAATTTTTGGTCCCGACTGCGCGGTCATATGTGCGGACGGTCGTTACGGACAGAGCAGGTCATAAGTGCGGTTGGACTTGGGTCATATGTCGGGGAGGACCTGTATATGTATTACTGTGGGACAAGAGCCGCACCTGGAGTGTCACCAGAACCGCACCTGGAGTGTCACCAAAGCCGCACCTGGAGTGTCACCAGAGCCCCACCTAGAGTGTCACCAGAGCTCCACCCTGATTGTCACCAGAGCCACACCTAGGGTGTCACAAGAGCCCCACCTGGAGTGTCACCAGAGCCCTACCTGAAGTGTCACCAGAGCCCTACCTGGAGTGTCACCAGAGCTCCACCCTGATTGTCACCAGAGCCACACCTAGGGCGTCACAAGAGCCCCACCTGGAGTGTCACCAGAGCCCTACCTGGAGTGTCACCAGAGCCCCACCTGGAGTGTCACCAGAGCCCTACCTGGAGTGTCACCAGAGCCCAACCTGGAGTGTCACCAGTTTTCCTTCATCATGGAATAGTTTAATTAACAGATAAAAGTTCAGTTGTCCTTTAAGGCAATGATGCCGCCCTCGACAGTCATTATTTGTGAGGAAACTCCTTTTAAATACGCTACAAGCAGATGGGGTCCAGATGTTTGAATAAAGACACCCCAAGCAGATGGGGTCCAGATGTGTCTCTGTATCACGGTAGAGGCGTAGAAATAGTTTTTTGATGTGTTCAGCTGGGACATACTGGAGAATGACCATCTTTCTTACATAAGCCGACAGCAGAACTTCCAAGCTACAGAGCGGTGTCCATTTGATCATCAAACGTCACGTCCTTCGATAGTCGTGTAGCGGTCGGGTTAGTCGGCGAGTTTGTGACTTGACGAGCACTGGTTGTCATCGTCGGGTCTCCGGGTAGAGTGAGGTCGCTCTCTGTGGGTACACTGTGTTAGTAGGGTGTGTCATAGGAGGGAAGATCAGCTAAAACTAATGGCCCATCACTTTATTGGTAGATTTTAGTGTATATAAACAGAAAATAATTTCAGTTTCAATATTTTGCAACCTTTTGCTAGGTAAATTTTAGCGTGAAATTTATCGAAAATCTAACGTACAGCTGCATTAGTGCATTACAATTAAATAGTGAACATTGTTTTCTGACTTCATTCTTTAACAACCCAACTAACAATATTTTTTTCTGTTTCAGATTCTGATGCATTTATAAGTTGATAATATTTGCGATGGCTGCTTGTGTCAGGACGAGGAACCAAAAATCCAGCCATCTCAGTCACTATCTTGGGTCTGGGAGAGAGCTCCTGAAGTCGGAGTTGCCTACATTGAGAGATGCTTTGAGATACGGTGTTTTAATCAGGCAAATCAGTGAAAAGAACCAAAGAACTTACACAAACAAAGACATTACCAGTGATATGACCAAAGCTGTCTTGGCACAGTACACTCTGGCTAACGCTCAGTTCAAGCCTCCAATCATAACAAGTCAGAAGAAGATTAGTGAGAGACTGCTAGCCAGTTGGGAAAAGGCAAGAGATATCTCTCTTGGGAGAGGAAAACTTGCAGTTAAGGACAGCTTTGCCAAGCAACTGGACCAGTTATTTGACATAATTACTTGCAAGTGCCCAATTGTTTCTCTGTCCTGAGGTTTGGATCACGATCGTGGCTGTAAATCCGGGGCCCACATCTCCTGTATTTGCAAGCGTGAACTGAAGATTCCTGTGATCGAACTGGCATTTGTCAAAGCACAGAGAGAAAAGACTGGCAGTATAGGGGCTCTCATGATTTCTAGCCAAGATATTCCGGAGTCCAAGAGACAGGAGGCTGCCACAGAGAGACAGAAGAGGAGAAGAGTTGCCGAGGAAAAGAGACTTGAGAAGGCCCAGGGTGAGGTAAAAAAGGCCGATGATTGGAGTCAAGCTGATTCAGAGTTTAATGACTGATTCAGAGTTTAATGACCCCCATGGCTGATCCGAGTGCTGACCAGGAGAATGGTGACTTTGTCCCTAACCCAGAAAATAATGATCCCAAACCTTCCAGGCATAACATTCGAAATAGGAAAGATATCCCGAGCATAGCTCTGGCCAGCATGCGACACCACACTGGTCTCAGAGAAACTGCAGAGATAGCAACAGCTGCCTGGATTGACGGTGGTTTGATAACACCTGATGATGTTCACCTGGTGATAGATCATAACAAAGTAAGGAGAGCTCAGGAGAAACTTGTCAGTAACCTAGAAGAGGAGTTTGATAAGGGGATAAGAGAAAATGGAATCAATTGTTTGTTCTTTGATGGGAGAGGGATGACACTAAAAGTGTTCATGAAAGTTGGAGATTCTGACAAGTTGTTCCTGCCATGGTGAAGGAGGAACACTACTCCTGCTGCAGTGAACCAGGAGGGAAGTATTTGTGGCATTTCACTCCAGAGAAAGATGACATCAGGGAACCAGCTGAGATAGTGGCAGATAACATTGTGAACTGGCTCAGAGAGAGGAACGTAGACCAGACCCTGCAGGCCATTGGAGGGGACAGCACCAACACGAACACAGGGTGGCAAGGGGGAGTCATACAGTGGATAGAGCGGAAGATTGGGAGGAAGCTGGTCTGGATTGTTTGTGACCTCCACACCAACGAGTTGCCACTCAGACATCTGATCCAGGAGCTGGATGGCAAGACTCTTTCAAACAACAGATGGTCTGGTCCTCTTGGCAAGATGCTGGACTCTGCCACTGAGTTAGAAATAAATCCGAGCTTTGAAAAAAATCACAGTTGGCCCTCCACTCGTTTGAGCTTGCACATACTGTCATTGACGACCTGAGTACTGACCAGTACTATGGTTACATGATTTGCAGTGCCATCAAAACTGGGGTCATGCCTGATAGACTTGCTTACCTGCAGATAGGTCCAGTCTCACATTCTAGGTGGCTCACAACGGCTCTCAGGTTCTGCAGAATTTGGGTCGCTCATCATAAACTGAAAGGGAACCAGCTTCACAACCTGAGACTTATTGTCCAATTCATCGTGAGTGTCTACTTGCCAAATTGGTTCAACACCAAGGTCAAGTCATCGTTCTCCGAAGGTCCGAGGCATGTTCTCTTCCAGCTTGAGCTCCTGAGGAGTCAGCCAAGGAAGGTTGTTCAGATTGTGGAGCAGACTGTGAGGAGATCTTCCTGGTATGCTCATCCCGAGGCAGTTCTGCAGACAATGCTCTGCAGTAAGGATGAGGAGGAGAAAGAGTGGCAGTCAAAAAGATCTTGGATATGAGACTTATGAGAGGATCTGGGCATGACGAATCAGTTGGTGACGATTCCTTCAGGGTCAGGAAGACTCCTGAAGTCAATCTAGATGCCAAGACCCTCACTGATCTCATAGGTCTGGATAACATCCAGGCTGGCAGTGAGCCCCCTCTTACCTGCAGCCTCACCAATGTTCAAGTCAGAGCTTTCCTGGACAACCCCATGCATGTCCCTGCCTGGCCCTCGCACACCCAGAGTATAGAGCATTGTGTACAGCAAGTGAGCGAGGCCAACATTCACGTGTACAGCCAGGAGAGGAGGGAAGGCTACATCCGAGCTCAGGTGTTCAGCAGGGAGGTGATGAGTAGAAACAGAAGCAAGAAAGACATGTTCTCTATGGTGTGCAGCAACACCGGGTCCTAGTAGTAAAACCGGTTTTTGTATTTGATGATTTTGTTTTCTAAAGGAATAATATATTTAATAGATGTGTCAAGATCATTCGTTTCACTATTCTGGATCATTTTCATCCTAATAAAGTAACCTGATACATTTACTTTACTTTAAATAAGCTATTTAGTGGTGTTGGTAAAAGGGTGGGAATACTGAATTTTCATAAGATTTCAAGCTAAAATTTACCTAGCAAAAAATGAAAACGTTTCAAATCTGAAGATATCACATGATTCTGCACATAGAACTACATCATTAATACCATGGGCCGATTTTTCAAACTCAAAAAAAAAAAAAATTCGCCTCCGTATGACACACCCTACTGTGTTAGGTCACTCACGTGAGGTCGTCTGACGCGATACTCCTTCTCTCAACGACCAGGCTGTTGTATCATCTCAAATCATCAAAGAATCGACTCTGTATCTGTGTTCTTCTGGCCAAATAAACTGTTTCAATATCAATACCAGGAAACAAGTGTACAAGATCTTTCAGACAATGCTGAAGACCCTCTGCCAGAGCCACCAAGCTGGTCTCAAGTAACTCCAATGTGACATTTTTAATTTTGTAATTCATTTATGTATGAGTTTTAACTAACATATGGTAGAATGTTTGAGTTAAAGGTGATAAATGTTTTATGTTATGACGTTGATATAAACATACGGTAGAATGTTTGAGTTAAAGGTTGGTTGTCCGAGTTGGTCTTTGATGGGCCGAATTGTATTTGGGCCGAGTTGGAGGTGCACCAGTCACACTATAATAACCCGTTATAGTACATCCTTCTTTCCTCACACAGCCAAACTGTGTCTGTGTGGATGTCGGTCACACTATAATAACCCGTTATAGTACATCCTTCTTTACTCACACAGCCAAACTGTGTCTGTGTGGATGTCGGTCACACTATAATAACCCGTTATAATACATCCCTCTTTACTCACACAGCCATACTATGTCTGTGTGGATGTCGGTCACACTATATAGTACATCCTCCTTTCCTCACACAGCCAAACTGTGTCTGTGTGGATGTCGATCACACTTTAATAACCCGTTATAGTACATCCTTCTTTCCTCACACAGCCAAACTGTGGAATGCTCTGCCTTCTGTGTTTCCATACTCATACAATCTGTCTCACTTCTAACAGCTGGTTTCTCGTCATCTTCGTGGTGTAGATTAATATAACCTTTTTATTTTTTTTACTCTTACTTTACACAAGTTGATTAATTCACTTGTAATTTTCATTTATAAATTGTACTTTTATAAGAATATTATCTAAGGCAAAATATTTTGTTTCAGATACTGTGATGTCACATCTCAAGACCAAGTGTAACTAAGTAGAAGTTCACAATGTTAAGCAGAGATAAAAAGTTCTCCTGTGAGGAATGTGGCAAACAGTTTGGCTTCAAGTCTACTCTTCAGAATCATTTACGTGTACACAATGGTGTGAAGGAGTTTGAATGTGAGGAATGTGGGAAATGTTTCTCCCAGAAAAGTACTCTCAAGACACACTATCTTGCACACAATAGTGTAAAGGAGTTTGAATGTGAGGAATGTGGGAAATGTTTCTCCCAGAAGGGTAGTCTCAAGACTCACATTCTTGCACACATTGGTGTGAAGCAGTTTGAATGTGAGGAATGTGGGAAACAATTTTCATATAAGAAATCTCTCAAGACACACATTCTTGTACACAATGGTGTGAAGGAGTTTGAATGTGAGGAATGTGGGAAACAATTTTCATATCAGAGTTCTCTCAAGAGACACATTCTTGAACACAGTGGTATAAAGAAGTTTAAATGTGAGGAATGTGGGAAATGTTTCTCCCAGAAGGGTAGTCTCAAGACTCACATTCTTGCACACAATGGTGTGAAGGAGTTTGAATGTGTGGAATGTGGGAAACAATTTTCATATCAGAGTTCTCTCAAGTCACACATTCTTGGACACAGTGGTATAAAGAAGTTTAAATGTGAGGAATGTGGGAAATGTTTCTCCCATAAGGGTAGTCTCAAGACTCACATTCTTGCACACAATGGTGTGAAGGAGTTTGAATGTGTGGAATGTGGGAAATGCTTCTTCCAGAAGGGTTCTCTCAAGACACACATGCTTGCACACAATGGTGTGAAGCAGTTTAAATGTGAGGAATGTGGAAAATGTTTCTCCCAGAAAGGTATTCTCAAGGAACACATTCTTGCACACCAAGGTGTGAAGGAGTTTGAATGTGAGGAATGTGGGAAATGTTTCTCCCAGAAGCGTACTCTCAATAGACACATTCTTGCACACAATGGTGTGAAGGAGTTTGAATGTGAGGAATGTGGGAAATGTTTCTTCCAGAAGGGTACTCTCGAGACACACATTCTTGCACACATTGGTGTGAAGCAGTTTGAATGTGAGGAATGTGGGAAACAATTTTCATATAAGAGTTCTCTCAGGACACACATTCTTGGACACCATGGTGTGAAGGAATTTGAATGTGAGGAATGTGGGCAACATTTTGCACTAAAGAGTACTCTCACGACACACATTCTTGGACACAGTGGTATAAAGAAGTTTAAATGTGAGGAATGTGGGAAATGTTTCTCCCAGAAGGGTAATCTCAAGACACACATTCTTGGACACAGTGGTATAAAGAAGTTTAAATGTGAGGAATGTGGGAAACATTTTGCACATAAGTGTCATCTCAAAAGCCACATTCTTGGACACAGTGGTATAAAGAAGTTTGAATGTGAGGAATGTGGAAAATGTTTCTCCCAGAAGGTTAGTCTCAAACAACATAAACTTGTTCATGAAAAAATAACAGATTCAATAAATGTTTGAATGACTTTAACAGAAGGTAAACGTGCCACATAAACTTGAATACAGTGATATACATCAATATAAAACCACTAGAGCAAACTCTATGAATGGCCTTATTATTATTTAGTGTAGGCATTTGGTGTTGGTTAAATATCACTCATAATATAACTCCATTTTGTTTCATAAGCCTTTTTAATAATGTTATTTTCAGTACAGTTGTACCCCGCTTAACGCGGGCAATAGAACCCACAGGGTACCGCATTAAGTGAACAACAGAACATATGGGATTAATTCCAATAGAGACTGGCCCGACCCCCAAACTCCACTTTTTGACGACACACAACTATGTTGTAGTAAAAATATTATCTTAACTCTATGATGGTATGCACACACAATTAATAATTAAGAGAAATATCAATAATATTAGGTTTTTTAACACTTACATTAGTAGAAAAGATGGCTGGGCACACGGGGATGGGGGGTTGGTTCCGAGGCAGAGGGCAGATTATTGGCCCTCACCTGTATCACTTGTATCACTATCCACCACAGAGGCTTGCAGGGCCTCTTTGTCAAACCCCTCAAAGTCCATATAAGTCCATATCTTCACTATAATTATCACTATCACTGACTTGGGCCGGCTGTGGTGGGTGGCAGATGAAGAACTCGGTAATGTTTTGATGACTGGGCGACCTTGTGCGCATCGTGCCCGCGCCGCTTCCCGCGTATATGAGAAGATGAACCGCGTTAAGTGAAAGTTCGGTTCTGGCGAGGCACCGCGTATATGAAAAATCGCGTTAAGTGAAACCGCGTTAAGCGGGGTACAACTGTACAGTAGTAAGCACAGATTAAACTTATCGTCTATGTCTTTAAAATTTCATCTTTACTGGATAAGTTGTGTTGAACATTGATGAACTCCTATGTACTATAATTTATGCATCAATAGTTGTGTCAACTGTGTACGTCTGTCTTTATTTACACGTGACGTACATTTTATCACAAGTACGTACATAAACACAGGTAGTAAGTCATCTGGGTAAAGTAGTACAGTGGAGGTAGACCATTTGTTATAGTCAAGGTGTTTTCATTATCTCACGGAAACTCTTCAATCTCTTTTGAAATTGTACGTAAATATTTTATAAGTTTGCTCAACTCTGATGAGATATTTTGATATTTTATCTTGACTAAAATGGTTTGTAGTTTTGAATCATGTTCATGTTTAATTATATTCTTTCATCACTTACAGATATATGGTACCATTGTCTGGTAAATAATGGTTAGGGTTCATATATAGTACTGTACCTGGAGTTATGGGGCAGATAAACTTTAACACCTCTTAACTGTATGTACAGTAATATCATGTTTAATATATTTTTCAGTTAGCATTTTTGTACCTTGGGCAGTCATTTTCTTAAAGTAGCCAATGCTGAAATGTCAAACTCTGGTTTAAAATTTGGTTTTTGATCATGTCAAGCAGAAGACTTGCTTAAATTAACATAGAGTATTTAGATAATTGCTGTTCTTATATACAACTTTTCCTTATAGTACTGGTATGTGTTTATATAACAATGTTATTTAAAAAAGATTGCTACAAGAATGGCATTAATTTTGTGGACATGAATATAGAGTTTTATGTAAATACTACTGTGTACTGTATACATTAGTACAGGTCCCTATAATCTCTTGTGACACTTATTACAGCTGCATAACGTTCACACTCACCGCACTAAGGGAGTATCTAAGTTTTCTATTGGGTAGTGTGACACAAAACACTAAACACTCTGAAGGGGTAATTTGTATGTTGTATTATACCAGTGTCTGTGTATATAATGTTAAGTGTGTGTACTGATAGTATTAAGGGAGAACTCAAGGTACTATTGTGTGTTGTATTATACCAGTGTCTGTGTATATAATGTTAAGTGTGTGTACTGATACAGGTTGTACCTCTCTAGTCCGGCAACCTCGGGACCATGGAAATTGCCGGACCATGGAAATTCACCCTTTTCCTGGATAGATAGTGACTTGTGCTTATGCTTGGAAGCACTAGCACCACTTTCTCTGCGTCATGGTCTCTTTGAAGACATATTGAAGGGTTAAATGTCGTATAGTAGCTTCTTAAATTTCGCGAGTTTTTAATTCTTAACGTATTTTATTGGAACACACAAAAAAATAAATAAATAAAAATTTTGACGGCGGAAACTTGAATTTCGACGGGTTTGAACGGCCCGCCAACGTGCAGACGACGTGCATAATCGTGTAAACAGCGTCATTTCTCTTATGTACAAAAGATTCATTATTGTTTATTACTGAATGTCTTTTTTATTGAATTAATGTTTATGTGTGCAAAATGAGCAATACAATTCATTAATAATACGTAGAATATTAAAACACACGAGGAAATGACAAAGCATTGTTTTCGTTGATTACAAAACCAGTGACTGACTGGTTCTACATATAAAACTGAAGAAAATAAGACCTTGGTTGTAGCTGTAGTAAAATTAATATGGTTGTTTTAAGTAATGTTATTTAATGTTAATAAATGGAACAATAGAAGTAGCTAACGATAATGGTAAAGAAAAAAGAGAGATCGCATATGTAAGTGCGCATGCGCACACGTGAAAACATATCGTCATTACTTTACATAAGAATATGAAAGCAACACTTATTTACTGTTCATATATATTTTAATTAATGTTTCTGAATTTGTTTTTATTGAATTAATGTACGTGTGTGCAAAATTAACAATACAATTTATTAATAATACGTGGAATATTAGAGGAGACGAGACGGCTGCCGGCATTGTTTATGTTAAAGCTTACAAAACCAGTGACTGATTAGTTCTACATATAAAACTGAAGAAAATAAGACCCTGAGTTTAGCTGTAGTAAAATTAATGTAAAAAATGAATATGGTTGCTTGAAGTACCTGTAATGTTATTTAATGTTAATAAATGGAACAATATAAGTGGCTAACCATTAATGGTAAAAAAAAAAGTGAGACTGCTCGTATGTAAGTGCGCACATGTGAAAATATATCGTCATTACTCTACATAAGAATATGAAAGCAACACTTATTTACTGCTCATATATATTGAAGGGTTAAATGTTGTACTCTGTATAGACAAGCAGAGAGAGAGAGAGAGTGCAGCCGAACTGCCGGATGTAAACAAACCTTAATTTCCCGCGGCTTTTTTTTTTTTAAGGGGATTAGCCCAGCCGGGCATAGGTCACTGACCCACATTGGGGCCTGAGGGGCAAAAATTTAATACTCCTGTAATAATAATAATATTTCAGATAAGTAAAAAAAAAAAAAATAATGCTGCCTATCTACCTATTGGACAAACCAAAATCGTTCCGGACCACGGGAGTTTCCGGACCACAGAATGCCGGACTAGAGAGGTACAACCTGTAGTATTAAGGTCAGTTATTTGGTATGGAGAAGAAGAGACCTTAATTTATGGGAGAAGGTCAGTTATGTTTGTGTGGTACAGTGACCTTAGTTACTTGGGGTTAGGTCAACTATATTTGTATTGTCACAGAGTGCATTATTTGTAATATGTCTAAATTATATTAGTCAAACTACTGGTTGGTGTTTCACCCTTCCTTCCCCCCTCAACTTTGATTAATGAAAAACACAAACTCACACTGCATGACTAAACTCACACCGCTAGACTAAGCTCACACTGCTAGACTAAACTCACGCTGCTAGACTTAACTTAAGCTGCTAGACTAAACTCACACTGCTAGACTAAACTCACACAGCTACACTAAACTCACACTGCTAGACTAAGCACACACTGCTAGACTAAACTCACACAGCTAGACTAAACTCACACTGCTAGACTAAATTCACCCAGCTAGACTAAACTCACACTGCTAGACTAAACTCACACAGCTAGACTAAACTCACCCAGCTAGACTAAACTCACACTGCTAGACTAAACTCACACAGCTAGACTAATCTCACACTGCTAGAATAAACTCACACTGCTAGAATAAACTCACACTGCTAGAATAAACTCACACTGCTAGACTAAACTCACACTGCTAGACAAAACTCACACTGCTAGACTATAAACTCACACTGCTAGAATAAACTCACACTGCTAGACAAAACTCACACTGCTAGACTAAACACACTACTCGACTAAACTCACCCTGCTAGACTAAACTCACCCTGCTAGACTAAACTCACACTGCTAGACTAAACTCGCACTGCTAGACTAAACTCGCACTGCTAGACTTCTTTGCGAGCTCCCCAAAGAACAACTACACACACTGTCCTGCAGTCTGGTGGCAGTGACCCTAAGTAAAGAAGTAAACCCTAGTATTAAGTGACCAATTAAAGGGCAGTATAACTATACACTTCGCCATGATGTGCCCCAAACATAAATATCTTACAGAATTAGATATAAGTATTTAAACTATTGCTGAATACAGTGAACCCTCACTTTACGCGGTTAATTAAACCCACAGGGTACCGCGGAAAGTGAGAAACGCGTAAAGTGAACAACATAACATATGGGATTAAATGAAATAGAGACCGGCTGACCCCCAAACTCCACTTTTTCCGACACAATACCTATGTTCTAGTAAAAATAACATCTTAATTTTATGATGGTACATGCACACAATTAATACTTAAGAGAAATAGAGAAATACAGTCGCCAAGTTAATGTCCATTCAAATAATGGACTCGACTCCCTCCCCCTCTTCTCACACAACACTGCTGGCTCTTCCCTCTTTGAGAAATTTTTTGGGGAAAACCACTAAATTTTAATAAATAATACCTCAAACTAAAGTTAGGATAATACAATTGACATTGCTGGATTCCTTGTCAGACCAGGAATATTTTGAATATAAATATCATATATTTTGCACAAACGATAACATATTTACTCAGAGTAAACAAAATACTTACATTTAATCTAAAATTTGTATGTTCGAGTTAATGATGACATTTGCAATCCTGTTCCATTCATCCACCACTCTGTTTCAAACCAGTGTTTACCTATTTCACGCCTAAATTCAAATTTGTCTAATTCTAAACCATTGTTACGGAAGTTCGCCTCCTGGTTGGATAATTTGAGTACCTTGTAAAGTCCCTTTGTTTAGCCCTTGTCTTCCACTTACATGATTCCCTATCAGGTCGCCTCGCCGAGGAGTGCAAATTAAAAGATGCTTTTAACCTGTCTCTATACCATGTTCCTAATGCCCGATTAGTCTTGTCATTCTCCTGAATTTTTCCGCGATTCTATATCTATT